GCTTGTGATATTGTACACCTATATAACAGAGCCCCACTGGAGAAAGCTGAATGAAGGGTATATAGGACTCTTTGTACTCTTTTTACAACTTCTTAGGAGTCTGTAATTATTTTTAAATGAAAAGTTTCAAAGAAAATGAACAAAGACCTCTTCAATCCATCCAGTTTCGATTCGCCTCATACACATTTACAAATTCTACTTTCTTTCCTCAGGCAGGAAACTCCTCTGAGTGTCAAGCACTATCAGATGAAATCAATGATCCCTGTGTGGATATGCAGAGAAAAGTCCCACATGACGAGGAAAAGAGATGATAGTTCTTAGACCCACTGGTTCATCTCACCTGTTCCTGTGGCTGATATAATTTACATACTCTTTCACATTCACTTAGAATTTAAGGTTCTTTACCCAACCAAAAGTGGAATCTTCAGATAAGTGTGGAAAGATTTTCTTAAATATTATGGGAACTGAACAGAAGAATTTAAGGTAAGATTAGAAAACATCTGTATTGAATTGAAAAGGATTGAAAAACTTAGGTTGTCTTAAACTTTGAGCTCTGTTCTTGCTGACAGCAATCAAGAAGTCAAATCCTAGCAGATTTCCCTTTCTTAAGGAGTGGGACGGGTCTCCCCAGTGGTGCAGCAGTTGAGCGCTGGGTTGCGAAGCTGCCCGCAGCCTCTGCAGCGCGGGTTTGATCCCCGGCCACTGGGCAAGGGTCCCACATGGCGTGCAGACCTCTCCTGCCGCCCGCTGCTCCCCTCAGCAGTGTCCTTCAGTCCTTCTGCCTGTTCTGCTCCCTGCTCTGGCTCTGGTGAATACTCTCATCCTCCCATGCTTCTGACTGTACCCAGTGCTTGTATAAATAAATAAATCTTAAAAAAAAAAAAGGGAGTGGGACACTAGTGTCCCATCAGGGTGACTGCATCTTTCAACATTTAGAAGAAGAGACAAAGGCAAACATTACTCTAATGCAGCTTTGAGAGGGCATCTTCTTTTTTTTTTTCCTTCCCATTTTTTAAATTTTATATATTTTTTAGATCATTTTTCATTTTTGCACAATGTATGCATTTTCATCTTGGTTATAGTCCCCATACAATTCCTACCCCCCTTGTTTTGATCCTACTCCCCCCTCCCCCCTCCATAGTGTGTCTCTGGTTATAATTGCTTGTTGATTTTGATTTTTACTTTATTATAATTAGTCTTTTTCCTGGGCATCTTCTTTCCTGGCCTGCTAAAAGAAGTCAAACTGATTCAGAACATAGGATAGAGTTTTAAGTCACCAGCCATATTTGTATTAACATTATTCATTGAAATCAAATGATTAGGCAACAGATAGATAAAACCAACAAACTAAAACCAAAGCTTCAAAAGCCCATCTTCTGGTCATCGGGAGAAATAAACAATCCTATCAGGAATTACCAAATATCAGAAAGTATTATAATTCGTCCGAAAAAGTCTTTGGATACCAACTCTCTGAGCTTCACCCATTTAAAAGGAAAAGCCTCCCACTCCAATCCCCCAGTTTGTCTAGTCCACAGGGAAAGCCATGGGGATTAAACAGACTCTTAATCCTGCCTTTGGCTTTGTCTTCAGGCCAAATTCCTGTGCCTAATCTCTAATATTTGGCTAACAAAAGGACATGCTCTTAATATTTCTTTCCTCTCTGACACTCAGGGAGCTCATTCAGTGATTAGCAACTAGTGAGTGGACAGAATCAAATGGTGGCTCAGTGGCTGGCTGTCAAGAAATTCAGAAGGATCATCCCAGCTGGCCCCATTCAACCATGTACTTCTGTGCCCTGGCATGAGGCCTCTGGAGTCACAGGAGACTCATTGACTACAAGGATAGAGCCAGATTTTATCCAGCCCTACAGGCAGGGTTGAGAGGTATTTCTGAAATAAATGATTAAAAAAAAATGCCTTCATGTTGCTATTTTTCAGCTGTTTCCAAAAATTAAAATATTGATTCAATGTTCATTGAAATGTTACTGCTTAGTTTTGACTTAGATTCTTCCACTCAGTAGAATTTGTCATTTTGCCATGAACTAATTTACAACCAATGTTATTATGAATGAAAAAAGACCTGTAAACCTCTCTCTCTCTCTCTCTCTCTCTCTCTCTCTCTCACACACACACACACACACACACACACACACACATTTTGAAAAGGAAATCTGGTGCTACTTTGAGCTTATTTCTTTTAAAGCAAGAATTTTCTTTTTTTAATATTTATTTATTTATTTATACAAGCACTGTGTCAGTCAGAGGCGCGGGAAGGTGAGAGAATTCAGCAGAGCCAGAGCGGGAAACAGAATAGGCAGACCGATGAAATTCACTGCTGAAGGGGAAAAAGCAAATTGCCAGTTAGGCCCACTCAACCCAGAAGCATGAGCATAACAAAATGGCTGCTGTTTTAAACCACTACAATGTGGAGTGACTCATTATGCGACAATAGATAACCAGCAGCAATGATAAAATAATTGGAGATAGAGAACTTAATTGGGCAAGAGATCATGCATACATCACTGCCAAAAGCCATTATTTTCAACAATGCAACTCAAAATAATTGTCCTAAATTGAAAGTAAAAGACAATTTTAAAAGAGGGTTGGGATTTAATAAAATTCTCTCCCGCCGAGGAAGTCTTTTGCTTCATTTGTTTTAGACTTATTTTCATTGCTTATTTAGGAATATTGAAAGAAAACCATACCCTACACAAGAATAACCTACAGGTTTCACACTCCTCCCTCCGTGTTTTGTTTAAAATATCCCTTAAAATGAAAATATGAGGTGGCTGGTTTCATCCAAATTGGAAAGAGATGAGCGTGCTCCCTGGCAGGCAAGGATGGCCCCAGCACATCCTCTCTGATGCCGTGGTGTCCTACCTACCTGGCCACCCTCCAGGGAGTCCCTGGGAGGAAGTAATGCCAGACTCCTGACTCCTGACACACATCTTTTTTTTTTTTTTTAAAGATTTATTTATTTATTTATACAAGCACTGGATACAGTCAGAAGTGCAGGAGGGTGAGAGAATTCACCAGAGTTAGAGCAGGGAGCAGAACAGGCAGACTGACGAAGTACACTGCTGAGGGGGGCAGCAGGCAGCAGGAGAGGTCTGTGCACCATGTGGGACCCTTGCCCGGCGGGCGGGGATCTAACCAGAGCTGCAGAGGCTGTGGGCAGCTTCACAGCCCAGCAATCTACCGCTGTACCACCAGGGAGGCCCCTGACACACATATTATGGAACATTTCCATGGATTTCACAGCAGCTCCACCAGTGCCAGCTAAAAATGTGACTCTTTGAAACACAGTCCATGTGATTAAGCAGCAGCCATAACTCTGGCTCCTTTACCTTATTGTCAGCAGGTCCACTTGCAGGACATTAAAGGTCTTAAGAAAAATTTCTAATTTGCCTAGTATTGATCCTTTAGTGAAAACATGTGGTTTTAGAAGCAAATATAAGAAGCTACTGACAACTCAACTGAGTAAGTAGAGACTCCTTTTTCTTTTTTTGTTTTTTTAATTTCTGTGTACAAGAAATGGGGTGTAGGCAAGAGATGAGGTTGGGGGAGAGGATTCACCAGAGACAGAGTGGGGAGCAGAACAGGCAGACTGACTGAAATAGACTGCTGAGGGGAGCAGCAGGGAAACAGGAGAGGTCTGCTGTGCCCTATTTGGGTCAGCTCCCTGGCCGGGGATCAAACGCAGGCTGTAGAAGTGATAGCGCTAAGACTTTACCTCTAGGCCACCAGGGAGGGCCTAGGTGGAGGGTCCTATTGGGTGCAGAAAAGTCCATTTCCAGTAAAATGGAACCTGGATTCCATAGAAAGCATCGCTCATCCCAGATAACGGCAGCAACCTGGGGATTTATGTATGGAGTATTCATTCACTTCAGTGCCGGTGTGCATACCTCACATGGGGCAGTTTGAGATGACTTAATTAGCCATCTGTAAACTTTTAAACACCAAAGCACAGAGAGGCATGTTGTCTTAGATCATTCTGCAAATCAAAACACATTCTTTTCAAAATCAAATATTCCTTCCTTATGTAAAGAACAAACTCCAAGTGCCTGATCCACCATCCAAGAGGGAAGATGAGGGGTCTTAGTCATGGGCTGGCTAATCTCATAAAGATCATGGAAATGTGGTGGACACAGCCTAATTCTCTATATTTGAAGAACATTTTCCAAAGCACATATGTTTTTCTCATAACTGAACACTGGCTGATTTGCCCATGTCCTTATACTGGGCTCTGCAGATGGGGTCATTTTGGAGGGCTTCTCCCCTATAACTCGGGCTGACGTTCATTGCGAGCTGGAAAATGCATCTGGGTCTAGACAGCCATAAATTGATACTACACCAAAAAAATTTCCCTTAGATGAAAGTGTCTTTCTGGCTCCGGGCATACGTAAGTAACCAGAAAGCCACCTCAGAAAAAGAAAATGGATTTTCAATAGTTTGCTATGATAGTAAGATGTGATTATAAGCTCCTAGAGATTTTCCTATTGCCTCATTATGGAAACAGAAAGTGACTTCTTTTCCTGGCTAGAGCTTCAGTGTTTTCTTAGGGGGGTTCTATAAAGACTTTATCTGATTCACAGTAGGAAAAAAATATTTCAAAGCTAGGACAAAATTTTATCTGATAAACAGCACTGAGAACTACAAACCTGCATTGAGTTTAACAAATTACATAAAAATTTTATGTCCAGGAATGCAACATATCAAGTAAAATTGATTTTTCAAACATTGAAAAGTTCAGCTAATTTAGATAAGGCAAGTTTGGAAAGGCAAGACTGGTTAAAAACATTTAAATGTTACAAGTCTTATACATATGTTAATAAAGTTTGTTTTATTAGAATATTTTAATTTCCTAGCAGTTAAATAGTACTTATACTCTTTACTACAAATATTTTATCATATGAATAGATATATTCATTTTTCACTTATTACCTGCCAAGGTTGGCTATTACACTAATATTCAGTTTTGTGCTCTCATCAAGTGAATCAAGGAAAAATTAAAATGCTTGGTAATATTCCAATTGATTTATTATGTACAGACCACAAATAGTGCTATTTTAATCTTGGAGGGAAATCCATCAAAAAATTTAAGCTTTATGTTTTTTTAAGTGTTGACATGGTAAGAGAAGAACTTTCCAGATAATTGTGAATAAGATACTGTTATATAAGACAATAAAAGCATTATTTCCGTACCATGAAAGTTCCTAACACATGTTCATTTTTTTCTAAACTAATTCTGAGTTGTACGTGAAAGGTCTAATAATCACAAAAACACAAGGCTAATTTTTAAACTTATTTGCACAGATATTTCCAGCCTCTAAGCCTGGAAAAAGATGGAATTTCCAATTGATGCCATACCTTTTCTGGGGAAACAATGATCAACTGTGGCTTCTGTCTTCTTGGCTGGGTTTACACAGAGCTCCTGGTGTGTCTGTGGAAAGTCCTGAGGGGGAGGCAGGAGAGTAGCTGTACCTCCTGATTCAATCAATGCTCAAGGTCGTCATTAATTGTGAGCACCTCGGATTAAATGATCTCCTTGAGGGGAAAGAAATCTGAACAATAAGATGTCCCCACATTAGGAACCATGTTCAAGTTTTCTAAAGTGTCTTTGTATAAAATCAAACCCAGATCATCAGCAACTTGTTCAGAACTGCATGATTTCGCTACCATTTAAAATGTCACTATGTGAAATACTACCCCAGAAGCACACTCACTCATGGTGTGTCCAGCATTGCCTTAATCCATATCATCTTTGAATGGAAATTAAGTTTTTTGGGTTTTTTTATTAATACCTTGGCTTTAAGACCTAAATTAAGTGACCTCAGGTAAATTCCTTCATTTCCCCTGCCTCATTGTCCTCCTTTGTAAAACTGAAAATGTTAGTGGAGGGATTAAATGAATTAATGTGCCTGGCTCGTAATAACCACTGTCAGAGTCAGTTGTTAACATGAGCATTATCACTCACCTGTTAACTCATAATGTTGGTAGAGAAGTCATACAAAGTTAATAGTCATTTTAAAACAATTCATGATTTCTTTCCAAAATGTTAACAAAGGCACAATTAAAAAGATCCCCAAATGACTATTAACTTGGCTCAGAATGATCTATCCCTGGATTCTTTCCAACTTTCCCCCTCCATTAAGCTCATGCATAAGGGGAGTCCTGTTGCATCAGAAACGAACCTGCTGGTGATGACTTTGTAACAGATGTGCCTAAGGCAGTCCTTCCAGCAAAGGACTGGTAAGGAAAAGTGGCTTCCCTCCAAAAGGTCATGCTGAGAGACTGGCAAACAGGATTCCCTCCTGCAGGACACTCTTCACTGCCTTCCTTTTGTGTTAGAGCTTTTTTTCCCTCTTTGCCATGTACATTTGATTACTACCCCACAGATGCATCTCTATGATCCAGATGTGTCCAGACTAGTCTAAAGGACCCCTCCCAAGCCTCTCTTTCTGGCTGTTCCTATCCAAAGCTAGAGACATGCAAGAAGTACTACCCAGGCACTCCATTTTTCCATACCTCTGCAGAAGGAGATCTGGTAGAGAACGGAATGCACCAAGTCAGTAGCTGACATCTGATCGCTGTCAGCTTTCCCACAAGGGGAAATCAGAGCTGCTGAAGGGAGGCTGCCGATGAAAATTAATAAGCTCCTTAGCAAGCTATGAAGCTAGGGGGAGGGGGCGCGGTGATTTCTGCACTCACTGTGCTATTGTTATACATACAGTTATACCATATGGCTCCGGGAGGAGAGAGCTGTACTTGCAGTTCAAATCTTGGTGTTAGGATGTACTTCAGATGGGGAACACTCTCTGCTTCTGTTCCTTGTGTTAGACAAGCACATGATGGTCCCATAGAAAGTGACCACCTCCACTAGGATGCAGAGTTAAAGCAGATCTCAAGGTCTGGGATTTTTTGGTGTGGCTTTCCTGGTGAGCTGTTATTTTAATATCAGTATTCTGAGAGGTAGGCAAATCCAAAGCAAAAGAGTTCACTAAATCTGACACAGTGACAAATGCAAATATTTAGTGCCTGTGTTTGATCTGTTTTTCCCCAGGTCAAAGAGTTGGCCGGCATGTTTCCATTTCCTTTTTTACAAAATATGCAAATGCTTACTTTGTTATTCAGACACATAACATTATGTGGAAGCAACACACAAACTGCTTAGAATGCAAATTTTCTTTGGTTTACTCATCAAAGTTGCAAATAACAAAATAGCAAAAACTTTATCAGTTAAATAAAAAAGTGACATTCTTTATTTACCTATGAAACCTTATCAAACATTGAAATGCATTCATTTTCACTCTCATGGAGAAATATCCATTCTACTCCTTTGCTCCTGATGCCCCCAAATTAAGTTATTTTGATGGATTCTTCTCAAAATGTATGCTTTACAAAATGTTTGTATCTTTCTTGACACCATTATTTTTGTTGTCTCCATATCAAGAATAATCTATATTTTTACTTTTACATTTGAAATGGATATAAAAATGAAGATTCCATCAGCACATGTTCTAGATAAGATAAAAGTAAAGCTCTCAGCAATTATTTCAAGGCAACACACACCAATACGTTTTGGGGAATTATCACATTTTGGGGAAGTATCACTCTTGGTACTATAAAAACAAAAACAAAAACAAAACAATACCAGAAGCATATTCTTACATTAGACATTATTTAAAATGTCAAATACAGCTTGTTTATACAACATCAACTTCAGAGCCGTTTTTTTTATTTTTCTGAGTTTCACTTGACTGCCTCAAACCTTGAATGTCTTACTTCTTAGTTAAGACTTAATTCCGGAATGTCAACGACAAAATCGTTAATAAAGGTTGACTTGAAAATGGAATTGTTGCAAAAGAAGCAATGGCAACAAGAGAAAGGTTTTGGGTTTTTTAAAGAGGTACATATCCACAGTAAGGAATAAAAGTGAATCAAAATGCAGAAGTCTGTACATGTTGCAAATATTCACTGTGCCGTTGACACATCTATTACCCTAAAAGAAGATGTCTTGAGGTTTGGAGTCATTCGTATTTCTCAATTTATAACTCCATGTTTGCATTATCAAGGATACAACTTTCCCATGATCTATTACTGTTAAGAAGTTTTTAACTAGAATTTTTGGCACTCTGCTTTTCTTCAAATAAACAAGCCTCATAAAACATTATCGTTTGTGTCCAACAATCAAATTGGGCAGTCTTTCTGGAAAAGGCGTAATCGTTAAAAATTCTTTTTTCCTTCATAAATCAGCAGTGCTCCATCTTCAAACAAATTACGAGCAGTCACCATCTCAATTCACACGCTCATATGTTCTCTTCATCCAACATTTTGTTGATACCATCACAAAGTTTTTGTAAGTGGGGTTTAAAATTTCCAAAGGGATTATACAAGGCAGCCAAAAAATCACAATCTGAAAAGTGATCGAAGACATTATTAATCCGTCCGTGTGACTTCGCGGTGAGGTGACGCTGAATGATGTGGTGGAGCAGCTCCCGGCACTCATTCAGCAGCCTGGACAACACATTCCGATCAAAGGTATAATCCACCTGATGGAAACTGACCACCGTCATAGCGAGCTGGTGGACTTTCTTCTTAAATTTCTCCATCAGTGCTAGCTCATCTTGATTGAACTGATTATTCCTGTAAAGAATGGCCAGCTTGATGACTGTTTTGATGAGGTTTTTGATGATCTTCTCCGCCTCCTTCTTGTTTTGGGTGTACTCCTTGGTCACTCTGTACAGCTCATCCAGCACTTCACTGCTGGTATCATCTATTAAGGTGGTCGCAATGGATTTGGACACCATTTTACCCAAAATCTTCTTCTGTGCCTGAACGGCCAGGTTTTTGGAATTGAAGACATCTGTGGCCACTGAAAACAAAGGGGGAAAGCATCAGTAACGATCAGCAAGCGAAGTAAATTTAAAAACAGGTACTAAGGAGTTTAGTTCTCATTTTTTCATTGTGTGGTTTGCCTCCCATCTACTGCCATTAGTTTCTGTTCAGTAAAGAACTAAAAAAAGTCTCCTGCATATCTGGGCATTAGGTTATTGTGTGAAATTAACGGGGTTGACATGCATGATCCTTATAGTCTTTGGCGATACAAGTATTTTATTTTTTCGCCTTGTAGTCAATACTTTGTTTAGAAGCTAAAGGTGACAACCTTTTAAAACATAACCCTATTTGATGATAAAAATGGTCTCACAAGGCAATGAGTGTGTATGAAATTTTCCCCTAGTTTAATTTGATAAGAAATACATCACAAATAAAAACTCACCTCCACAACTGTTTTCTAGCTAACAATCTCCAAGAACAATTTAAAGAAACCTACTTATTTATTTATTTGTTTGTTTGTTTATTTATTTATTTATTTATGCATAGAAGAACTTGGTGTAGGCCAGAGGTGCAGGGGTGAGAAGATTCACCAGAGACAGCAGGGAGCAGAACAGGCAAATTTCCTGAAATTTACTGCTGAGGGGTGCAGGGGTGGAGGGCCCCCAAGACATAAGAGGTCTGCTGGGCCATATGTGGGTTAGCTCCATGGCCAGGAATCAAACTCAGGCCTCAGCGGTCATAGCGCTGAGACTTAACCCAAGAAACCCATTTAAATGTAAGCGTGAACTTTGACAACAAAATGACAACAAAATGGGGGGACATTCGTATAGGGGGATGGGAGCTATGGGTCAAAGGGGGGTCTGCTGGATAAAGTTGAAGAGTGACTAGAATTTTGGCAGTGGTCATGGTGTGGTATATACATTTATCAAGGTGTGAAACTTCTCCTAAAAGTTAAGTGGTTTCATAAGCTAATGGTACTTCAATTAAATAAAGGTATGAGGGACAAATGGAAAAGGCATGATTCTAAGTGAAAGAGCACATTCATGGAAGCTAACTAGAGGGGAAGCCCTGCTTACAGCCCAGTTGCAAGAAGTCAAGACATCGGCCGGCACCCAACAGAAGTGGAGCGTCGGAAGTAATGTTTCTGGATGAGCTCATTGTCACTGATGACTTGCCACTGCTCTCTTTAAATTTTTGTGTTTTAAGGAAATAACCATTCTGTGTGAGTGAATGACGTGTGTTCTATAAACAACATACTTTGAAAAAGCTGGAGCTTAGAGTTGGCTTCTGGAATTCACGACTTTTCATTTGACTAGGGTTTCAGATTCACATCATTAATAATTGTATGACTAAGTATTAAAGTGACATTGTATGGGATGCTCCTGGCTTAGAGACAGTCAGTGAAAATGCTCAATGGATATTTACTCCCTAAATCAAGTTTAGTTTTTCTCGACTGAAACTATCTCCAGCTCTGTGCATGCTGCAATCTGCAAGCTACTGCCCTACAACTCTGCTTTTTCCCTCTCCTGCTTGGTTCTCAGAGCCTCAGTTTTCAATTCCCTATTCTTCCTTTGGGTCCAGAAGAAGCTGCTCTCTCTAAAATGCCAATGTATGAGACTAGGCCTGGGAGTTGGAAAATAGTGATTCAGTAATGTAAGGCAAAAGGGTTAGAAATACAGACATCTAGGAATGATTTAGTCATATCATCAGTGATGTAGAACTATTTTAAGGTGTTTAGCATCATCAGAAAACAAAAAGGCAGGTGCTCCCAAATCCAGGCTGGGAAGAAGCAGAGGAGTGATTTGCTCCGTGGAGAATCACCATGTTAGATATGAAATCGGGCCAAGAGGAACCAAATTAGAGCTGAGATTTTGGCCAGAGTAGCTCATGGTACATAGTAGAGGCAGCTACAATGTGGTTTCTAGTGACCAGAATGTTATCCCTAAATGAACAGGATCATACCCCCTAAAGAGAAGTCTTGACAGAACTTCACTTGGTCCCCTCACAAATGTCCATATTTAAACTTATGAAACATGAATTGAAATTGCAGAACGAGAACTGAAATATGTTTGAAGAAAAAGAAAGTGAATAAGCATGAGAAACAGCCAACTTTATAAAGCAGATTGCCAAGCTCTTTTATGTTTTCCCCATTTAAGCAGTAATCCAACAGTCTATTCCTACCTGCCAATCATTTGCAAAAAAAAAAAAAAAAAAAAAAAAAAGTATGTGTATGGGTTAAATCACACTTAGGAGTTTCTACCAAAAGAAATGGGACACGTGTAGTCAGTGTTACCATATTCAGAGCAGGCACCATTTTCCATTACAGCATGTATGATGCAGACCTCAACAAATAAATAAATCTGATTTTATGTAGGCAGGGATACCCCCAAATTCTCAGAAACACAGCAAACAAGGATATCAGTCAATTATTTTATACAGTTGAAAGGTTATTACTTTTTTTACTCTATTAGAATGTGGCACAGTCTACAGCATCCCAGCTGGATCCCACTTCAATGTCTAGTAAATGAAAATACTGTACATGACAAATAGCAAAAATCATGAAGAGGGGATCGAAATATTTCTTTGTGTCCCTTTCTCCAAGATTAGACTTGCAAGTTGGCACCCTATAAGCTACTTCTCTGATGGAACCTAAACGCCCCCTTTAATTTCAAACATAACAACAAAACAAAACTCTATGGCGCCACGCTTTAACTTCCCAAAAGAGAAATCATAAAAGACAAGGCTGCTGTCAACTAAGCAAGATCACACCCTACTTACTGGTAACCAAGTCTGAATGGGGACAGAGAAGTTGATCTCTGAGACTTTCACATTCATTTGTCTCACAGGAAGTTCACACCCTGCTCTAAAAACACAGCAGCAGCCTCATACATAAACTTCAATTTTTGGATTATATGTCAACTTACAATATGAGGATGAAGCTGTTTCTCCCCCTCTAGAGGGAAGACACGCATGCAGTGGATTTCTTTTCTAGTGAAGCCTTCTTTGGAGTCAGCTGGGGGTTTGTGGCTGAGAGCTGCATGCCAGGATGGTGTGGTCTGTGATCATGAAATAGGACTTTTTTTTAAAGGTTTATTTATTTATACAAGAACTAGGGTACAGGTCAGAGGCGGCATGAGGGTGAGAGAATTCACCAGAGAGCGCGGGGAACAGAACAGGCAGATGGACCAAAGACACTGCTGAGGGGAGCAGCGGGCGAGGCAGGAGAGGTCTGCCATGCCATGTGGGTGTCTCCCTGGCCAGCGGGGAATCGAATGCATGCTGCGGAGGCTGCGGACAGCCTCAAAGAGCAGTGCTCAACCCACTGCACCACCAGAGAGGCCCAGGACTTCTTTTCTTGCAAATTAACAGCTTTTCACTATTCCTGCTCAGCCTCATCTGTCAGTCCACATCCTCTACCAGAGATCCCTTGAAGACCTGTTATATTTCATAGCGAGTCTTAGACCAAACTTTTCTCCCTCATTTTACACTCACCCCTGGGTGATCTCATCCCCTCCCACGGCTTCAGATCCCACCCAGGTGCCAACAACTCCCACGGTTATAATCCAGCTCTGACCTCTTTTCCAGACTCATTTGGCAAATGCATTCGAGGTTTCTCTTGGCTATTTGCAGACATCTCAAATGCACCATGTTCCAAACTGAACCCTAGATTCCCTCCTGCCCTCAAGTGCTCCATCTCCATTCTTTAGTCACTGAGTCAACAGCATCCCTTCCATTCATTGACTCAAGTAGCGACTTGGGAGTCACCCACCACACCACCCTCTCCCCTACCCAATCCACTTTCAGTACTTTCCATTCTACCTCCCCCCAATTCTCTATAATCCACATTCCCCCCATCTCTGTGGTCAGCAGCCTCTTCCAAGTCCCACTTCCTTCTCCTCCAACACAGAAAAGATTTTTAAAATGTAAATTAGAAAATGATGCTTGACTGGAAGTCTTTGCTAATCATCACACTTTCTTGTTCCTGAAATCCTCATTATTTGCCTAACTTTTTTTATCTCCCTCTCCTGACTAGGATCGAATCTCTTTTAGAACAGAGACTGTTCCTTGTTCACTCTGCCATTCCCTGAGCCTACCAAGGGCGCTTGGTACACGCAAGGACAGGCGTGTAAATTACCTCTCCCTTCTCTCCACTGTGATGACATACTTCTCTATGAAAACATGTTGGCTTGCAAAACAAGAGTTTTTAAACACATTTGTCTGAGTTTCTGTTTGTTTTAAAAGCTTGAGAAACTTACGTCTGTTTTACTTAACTCAATATGTAACTTGCTTCTCTTTCAATGTATTCTTGATTGTGGGTTCTTGCATTTTTATCAATCAGTTCTTTTAAAGAGAAAGATTTGTTGAGCACAAAAAAGGAACATTGTGTGACAATAGTAAAAATGACGATCATAATAGCAGGATGCAGTGGTTCTGATTTAAGCTGCAGTGGAAGATTAAACTCATGCCCACCTCCACTCTGGCTGATCTATGCTTAAATATCTAACAGATGGATGAAAAGTCTATCCTGGGAAGCAAGTAGGGGACATTCTCAAAGGAGAAAGTGCTGAAAGTATTGACTCAATGATTTACCTATTAAGCTGAATTCACGTGTGTCAGAAAATATACACGTGTGTGGCTGACAATGAAAAATGATGTCATGCATCAAAACATACAAATGATTACCATGGTGTTAAAGCAATTTAAATTGGTGTATAAAAATAGGTATAAATGCTGTTTTGCACCTACTTACTGCTCAATCTCCTTTCTCAACCTAATCAACAGCCCATTTTTGCAATATTCAGGGAATTCTACTTTTAGCATCAACAATTACAATATGAAGATCAACATTGATAGTAAAAAAAACATAGGGACCCCTGTCTATGCCAAAATAACTGCTCAGCAGGCAAACAAAAAATAAACCCTGAGTTTTAATAGCATTCATAAATAACCATACTGTTCTGAATTTAACAAAAATTTCCCATAACATTAGCCCAACTACAAAAAGTTAATACAGCGAAGCCCTCAAGTTCCATTCAC